TCCACAAATATATCACATTCAAATTTATGAATAAAGACACATGACTCTGTATTTGAAACTAAATTTGTTGTTTAGTTAAATTTGTTTCATAAGATACAAGAATATATATAATTCTAATAATAAAACATAAAATTTATAATGAAACTTAATTTTTGTCCGATAACTGACATATAATTTGTATACATACCGGGGTATGTTGGGTATTGATACACGAGGTAAAAATAGAAAATCGTTCATAAATCGGTTTAATATATATATGTATATCTAAATAATTTTTGGAAAATATATAGAAAACATTACTCTGAAAGCATAGTCCAAATTTCAAGCCGATACGATATATAGATCTCGCAATATATCACTTCAAAAATGAAAAACATACCCGGGTATGTGGATATTGACATAACGGTTAAATTGCATTACTGTAAAATGCGAATATTTATAAACAAAATGTAGTCAATAATTTCTTCACATAGAAACAACTTTTCAAATTAAAATGTACAAAAAAAAGTATGAAACAAGATGAACTTATTTACTTTCATTGTTATGCATTCTAGAAAATTATTTAGGGTGTACGTTGTTTTTGTAAATTATGCTCTTGTTTTTTTTCAAGTTGTGTTTGCCATTTCTTTAACAAAGCGACATCAGCCTGCTTTGTTGAATGCTGTCAGTTATTAAATTATGCTCTTGTTTTTGTTTTTTCAAGTTGTGTTTGTCATTTCTTTAACAAAGCGACATCAGCCTGCTTTGCTGAATGCAAATAAAATATTTGTATTTTTGATCATAGAAAAGGTATACATAGAACTGAAACTGAGTATGACAAAACCTAAGTCTGCTGTCAAAAACCTAAGTCGTGAGAATGTATTAGTTGAAAAATATGTAACCCAACAAACACAAACTCTTTCGTTTAAAAAGTTTTTATATTTTTGTTTGATATTATATTTCGATATTTTATGAAATAATGTTTTGAATTAGCCATTTTTATTCAATATCAGTTGACCAATGTAAGAAAGATCTTCATTAAAAATTATTCTTAATTTTAAATAAACTCTTTGTGTTTGCTGGGTTAAGTCAATATTGACACTTGAAAATTATATTAAAAAAAATAAAAACGAATGAAAAATTAGTTTTTTTCTGAAAATGTTTTCAATAATTTTATAGGAAAAACATAACTTTTAGCAGTGTTTATTGCAGCAGCAGGGGCTATTTTGCCAAAGGAATTGTGCTAATGCTAAAATTAACGCTTGATATGAACGATTATTGTTAATTTCAAAGCAGCCCAAATGCAGTCAAAATACACCCTACACCACACTAATGGGAACGGCATTTTGTTTATGTCTTAAAGTTTGTAACACCTGCGTCGATGTAATGATGTAATCCGTCCATAAATTAGCCTATTATACTTTTTTGTAAGCGGTACATACTATACAAGAATAGGGTATTTATAAAATTCGACTCAACAAATTTTATATATACGAAATTTTGACTATATATTGTTATAATGAGTAGTACATTCATTAATTAAGCAAACATCAATCTCTTGAATATAACTTCTACATTAAAAAATACTAAATAAATTATTGCTACTTACTCGCAATGTGGTAGGGTATGATATATTCGGATACATTTTGTACTTTCATATTTTTGTTATTTTATGTAAACAAAAATAAAAATACTCATACAATTGTATTAAATTCACACAGAACCTGTACATGTGAGAGAGTAATATTTCTTATTCTCAGTCTCAGTTCTATTTATTTTTCTATGTTTTTGATGCTCTTGTTTAGAAGTTCGTCTGCGTTCGTGTTGTGTACATGTAATTTGCCGAAAATCTTCGTTGTCAGAACAATACTAGCGCCGACGTCTGATCTAGATTGAATTTTGAAAAAACGGAAAAATCCGTTTCCGTATATTTTATTAAGGATTATTATATATTAATTTCAACGAATTACATCTGTTGAAATGTAAATTCATGTGTGTTGAAATGTAAAAAATCTGAAAATTTCCCGAAAAATTAAAAAATTTGATTACATTTGCTGTTACCATAAATTTCTGATATGGAATTTAAAGCGTCTCTCAAGGACCTTTCTAATGATACCAATATTTCACATCTTCCCTTTGAAAGAAATATGAATAAAATCATAAAAACCTCAAAAAAGGACCTTTTTATTCTTTGATCCAACTCACCAAATATTAACATCGGGAAAAACATTTTATTTTACTTCAGAGCTAGCTGAAGCCGCAGTCTGATTTTAATGAAATTTATGAAAATATTTTCCTGACTTTGTAGATTATGTCAACCATTTTTTCAAATTATATTCATCCTTTACATGTAATATGATCTATCAAAATTTTGTGCAGAAGAGTACGGATGGGATCGTCTAAACGCTATATGTAATGAAACCATCACACATTGAGAGAAAATATGGATGGAAAATTTGGCAGTCGTATGGCTCTCTTCATTTTTATAAATGATTCAAAGAAGAAGAAGTCGCATTAGATCAGGGATATATTTTTATGTAAACACATACAAAAAAGTGAAACAATTGTTTCCATCTTACTTTGTTATTGTTTTATACCAATCGTGTAAACACAAAGAATATAATCATACGACTTTTGTTCTCTTTTTTGTCTTACGGATGGAATTTAATTTTACTTTTTCATTAGACTTTACGTACGTAAAGTGTGATCGTGTAAGGTCCCCTTTAGGAGATAAAATTGCACTTCGGCACTCTTGGTATTAATCACTTGACATGGACACATGGATCCAAGCGTCTCCTGATGGATCCAAGCGGTTCAATAATCTAAATTAAGCCATGACTGCAAAGTTATCCTGTCTAAGACAGTTTTAAAACAAATTACAACATATGGAATTCAATACCTGCATAGATCTTATACAGAGGGCCCAATCGAAATTTTAAAATAATTATACCAGCGAAGCAAACAAAATTAATTCTTTTCATTTTAGGTTCTACATTTTTCTTTATTACACATATTTAACTAATAAATAAAGTTTTTAAGAAAATTTATTTTTTGTTTTGGTAAATAGCTTTCTGTTTATGGCTTAAACTTTTTGTCTATGTGCTGAAATAAACATTCTTCAACGCTTTAATTCCACAACATTCGAAATAATTGTCGTTGGAGTTGTATAAAGCTTTTGCTTAGAAAATATAAAATTTTGTGGGTTGTTTTACTAAAAGTTAATTTTCTTGAGATCCCTTCATTGTTTCACTCTGACAATTCTGGTGAAGGAATAAACAAATGGAAGCTACCCTTAAACTTTTTAAACTATAACACTATGCAACAAATTTTGGGTCTTCGAATTTTCCCCAACAAGACCAACGGGAAATGAAAGTAGACAATTAATACACCCAATACCTCAAAGGGTTTAAAAAAGTTAGCTGGTATTGTTAATTTACATACATTTTAAACATAGCTTTTTCAGGAAAATTTTCTCATATGTATGTAATATCATAAAAAGTTTGAGCAGACCCTCTCTGATTTTGATGAAATTCGGTACACACATTCTTTTTATACATACAACGAAATCTTAAGTTCTCCAAATTCGTTTAAAGTTCATATTTTTAAGAGTATTTCTAAAAACGATTAAATTTGATATTGTATATATTATAATATATTTATAGCATTTTAATATTTTTTTACTGTAATTAATGCGTATGTGTCGTAGTTTGACAATATTTTATTTGAAATATTATGATTTTAAATTTTCTTTATTCCTTTACTAAAATTAGTTTATAACATCAACAACAACATATAAAAAAATCAGAGCTGCACCATGAAGGGATCCATAGAAAATCTAATTTTAGTAAACTAATCCATTTTACTACTGCACAAATTTTTAAATTTTTAATTTTATTTTTAGATAAATCAAATAAAATTTTAAAATTTCTAGTAGAGTATCTACTAAAAACTACTTAAATAGAAAGGAAATAAAAGGACACAAAGTATAAACATTAATAAATTTAAATATCTTAGACCTTAAGTAGTCAAATATAATTATGTACATATAAAATGCATACATATATGGGAAAATTAATTTAAAATTGTTCACAAAATGCCTATAAATTAAATATTCGAGCTAACTTTTTAAACCCTTTTGGGCTTTTGGTCTATTAATAGACTATTTTCATTTCTTGTTGGTCTTGTTCGGGAAAAATTCGAAGACCCGAAATACCGTTGGTTTCATTCGGGAAAGATTTCCTTGTTGCACAGTGTAATTTATATAAAATACAATTTTAACAAATGCATTGTATTAAAATCGAATAAATATTTTATAAAAATGCTTGTGGAAGAAAATTAAAAAATATGTAAGTAAAGTACATGCGCCAGTCACAACTTAAAATTTTTACCTCTAAAATTCGGACAAAATTCACAAAGCCCTGATGAGGGAAAAACTATTAGGCAGGTTGTCGAAAAATGCCAGTTTTCTATTGATAAAACAAATTATTTCGAATTCCTGTAATGGACCCGGTAACATTTGAACAAAAAAATGCAAAAAAAACATTTTCATAATATAAACTTTTTAGAAAATAGAAAAGTTATGAGATAAGCAGAAAATTCAGAGTTAGAGTATGCGCTTTACACATGGTTTTTTCAACAAATAAATAATCATATCCCGATTACATCAGAAATTTTAAAAGCAAATGAATACATACATATGTATGTATTTAATTCACTTAGATTATATTAATAATTTTTACTACTATAGTCCGGACAACTCGATAATCCGAACGTGCTTGAAACTATATGTGTCCCGATTGTCGAAGTTGGACTGTACTTCGAATCTCGATAAAATGTAAATCCTTAGCTAATTTGGATATTTTTTTGGAGAAGAATGTGTGTACCAAATTTCATCGAAAAAAGTATGTACAAAAACCTACTTTTTTGGTAGAAATTTGTATATATTTCCCATATTAAATTTAAAATAAATAGGAAAATATATGTATATTAGAAATTATATAAATATTAATATGAATACTTACTGTTTAATAAAACAACACTTATCATTGTGATCCAGAAAAAGACGTTCTGCCAGTTAGAGGAATCCAAAATGGCAAGTATAACTGTGATAATAAAAATTGCCAACTCAAACAATATACTGTACACTATCCGTTTGGTAAGGTCACCACTAAAAATATAAAGTATTTAATTACACATCTAAATGCTTTCGAAATTAATTTTATTTAACCGTAAAATTTTGAATACTCAGCGAAATCAAATACATACACAAAACAAGTATTCGGCAGAGCCATATCTAATATACCCTTCAACATATTGTGTTTTTTAAAAAGTTGTCACTTAAAAAAATAAAACAAAAATTCTTTATATTTAAAAATTTAAAGAAACCTTAAAAAGATAAACTTAAGTTGTTATCGATAACATGATAATATGTGGATTATATACCGGTACTAGGGTTTAAAAACCTTTCAAGAGATACCAAACCCTCATCAGAGTTACTTTTCTTATCGCGGATTTTTCCGTTCAAACATATTCCGTCTAATATTCTTGCTAAACTTATTTACAGGAATGTAGAACTAATAATACATCAATCAATAGCATGTCCAGTCATTATTTTACTAATTTCTACTATTTCACTTATTACTTAAATCAATTGATTTCGCATTCAATAATTAGATTTTAAATAAAATATAAATATTTTCATAGCATGAGGTGTTAAAAAAGTGAGCCTAAATGCCGCAGAGGCATGCCATATGGTCGCTTAGAGGCCATTACTGGCCTCTATAAAAAACAGCATTTTAAAAAGTCGTTAATAATTAAATTTTTGGCTGTAAAGATGATTTAAAATAACACATTTTCATACATAACAATGGTATTTTTGGTACCGAAAAAGAAAATTTTCAGAAATTTTATGTTAAATGGTAGATTTGTACAAAAACGTTATGGTATTAAATTATAAAAAAAATCTGGGAAATATACATAAAAACATAAACTTTGCTATATCATCTAAAGGCCTATAGAATAAAAATGGGAAAACTAATGATAGCTTTATATAGAAAAAAGTCTTAGCATTTTAGGCATACTAAATTTTTATCAAAACAATAATTTCTAAATATTTACTTTATGCCAAATTTACTTAAATGTGCAATGTGCTTCTTTTCAAAGGTAATAAAAGCTGAAGTTATGACTTCAAGGTCAACGTAGAGCAGATTGAAAATCGGTTAAAAACTACCAATTTTATGATATTTCAAAGTTTAAACTTCAAAAATAGCTCTTTTTCACATCTTTTGCTCTTAAAAAGTAACTAAACGAAATGATTGGGAAAAAATTAAAAGTATATTCGTACTCTATGAACTATAACAAAATGGAATTAGTATACGAGAACCCCTGCATTTTTTGGTGTATCACTGTGTTATTAGTGATAGTTAAAAATTAGTGCACTACCCCATCTCTGATATCAAAGACCTTACCCACCACGAATACAAAAGGCTGGAATAATTATAAAGAAATTGACATAGATTTGGTCGAGTTCGTCGGCATAATCAGTGGGAAAATGTAAAAAAAAAAAATTTAATTTATTTAAAAACAACTTAAAATTTGTTTTTTTTTTAAACTTAGGGCTTACTATGGAAAATCAAACATTACCCATGTACTGCATTCCCCGACAGCCGGTTCTACGTACCGGAATGACCCAAATTATTCGGCCAAGTGCTGTCAACCCCAGCAACAATACAATTTTCTGCTGCGGAGCAACATCTTCCGGCATTACTGCTCCGCATCCTTTTGGTCCGTGCCGGAATTGAATTAAATCCCGGACCATGGTTCTGCACAGTTTGCCAGAACCGACTGCACCATATGTCCATCGAATTAAGGTGCAACTCTTTTTTGGGCTGGTTTCATCTCAGGACTGCTCCGGACTTAACAATCATCGAGAGTGGTCGGAAAATTTCGTCGCCCCATGCTGCTTACAACAACGGCGAGATTCATCAGCGTCATCGACAACAACATCGTCATCTTCCTACGCTACCCCTCCGCCCTCTCCCCTGCAATCACAACAACAGCAGCAGCAACAACAATTACCGTCGCCGCTAACACCCTATCCATATTTCAGTTCAACAGAAATGGCCTCCAAAACTAAATTTCCGTGATAACCCGATATATGCAGCACAACAACATCGTGGTCGCTGCGGTCCAGGAGGCAAAACTGACGAACAATTCCAGTCTGCAAAGTTATAACGGATACAACATTCTCCGAAAAGACCGCACCAGAAGTAACGGTGTTGGCATTGCTTTCATCATTCATAACACCGTGCAGAGACCAATATCTTGAAGTTCAAGGTATTGCAGTTAGATCGGGAGAAACCGACTTAGAGCTCTATAATGTCTATATTCCGCCTGTAGCCTGCTGTCCAACAGGCTACCGTCCCGACAACAGGACTCTGTTAGACGGCGATATGCGTCTTGTCCTAGCGGACTTCAACGCCCACCATCAGCTCTGGCACTCTTGTTTAGGGGAATACCAGAGAGGTGCGTTGCTGGCGGAACAAATTGACGAGTCCACCTCCTGCACCCTGAATGATGATGCCCCCACATGGATTATGGGTACCTGCGCCAGCTCGCCCGATATCACCATAGCGAGTGCTGGTTTGATCAACTACGCAACATGGCGAGCCGTAGTTTATCTGGGATCAGACCACTTACCCATAATCGTTTGTCTGGATCGACCTAACGACTTTATCGCCTCTGAACGCCGTCAATACGTAAACCAAAAGAAAGCAGACTGGCACAGCTTCAGAGAATACACCGAACGCATCTTCAGTGATCTAAATTTTCCCTCCAACGTACACCATTCAGAGAGAAAGTTCCGCGAAACCGTCATCTCAGCAGCTGCTCACTTTATACCTGCTGATGGTATATCCGTAGTGCGGCCGCATCCGATGACATCCGAAATACCAACCCAGGTGATCCAAGACTCACTCAGCTGAACATTGAAATCATCATGGTTGGTAAATGAGGACAAGCGGAAAAGATCCCCATTTCCGACCCTGAAGGGTGCTCGCGTGCATTTTGCCTGCAATTCATTAAGCACCCAGAGAGAGACAAGACAAAACGAAGCGTTGTTCACAAACCTCACAACTTTCCAGTCACGGACATACACATCAACAACAACGCCAAACCATCTAAGGCGATTGACCCCGACGGAATATCCATGCTGATGTTAAAACACCTTGGCGAGCGGGGAGTTGAGTACCTGACTATGGTCTTCAACAAGTCAGTAAGCAGCCTCGTAATACCCGAAGCCTGGAAAAAGGATAGAGTCATTCCCATTTTAAAACCTGCGAAATACGCGACGGAGGGTCAATCATACATGCCGATATCCTTGCTATCACCAGTCGCGAAGACTCTTGAGGCGCTTCTCCTTCCCCAGCTGTCCAGCCACCTAACAGCAGCACGTCACCAGCATGGCTGCCGCAGAATGCACAGCACCACCACAGCATTAACCGCCATTGCCACTCAGATCTCACAAGGCTTAAATCAGCAGAGGCACTGTGAAAGGACGGTCCTAGTAGCTCTTGACCTGTCGAAGGCCATCGACACTCTTCGAGGATTTCCTGCAATCCACAATGCCCAACGATACGAAGAGATGGATCGTAAATTATCTGAGTGGCTGTCGTTAGTGGAATTTAGAGACAGAATCTCCAAACACCGTAGAGTTAAACAAGGCGTACCTCAAGGTGGAGTACTATCGCCACTTTTGTTTAACTTCTACCTCCCTAAACTCCCCGCACCTCCACAAGGCGTGGAAGTGATTTCATATGCGGACGATTGTACAATCATGGCGACGGGCCACAACATTGATGAATTATGCGTTCTAATTATATCCACGAAATACATCAGTCCTTCACTGCGCGTAACCTGCAATTATCACCAGCGAAGTCGTCAACAACACCTTTTACCACCTGGATAAAGGAAGTAAACCTAAACCTAAACCTGGGATGTCATCGGAGAAGTCATCCCAACTTTAACATCACACAGTTGGATACTCCCCCGAGGCATGCCAGGAAGGATCTTCGTATATACGAGGAAAACATATGCAGATATGTGCAGGATCCACTGGATCAGTCCTCGTATTCGGCAGTTTTGAACGACATTCATAGAGACGCCATGAATTCCGCGGTCGCAGGATACCGCATGAATGTCGTACTTGGAGGTCGCCCACCGCCCGTAGCAGTCACGGAAGAAAACCTGCCGCAGAAAACAAGAGTAGTCCTGGCACAAATAAGATCGGGATGGAGCAACAGGCTCAATGCCTACTGGTCACGTACAGACCGTGCCGTCCCCAACGAATGTCCTGCATGTGGTCAGGGTCCTCATGACACCCACCACATATTCAACTGCTCAGCCAACCCTACTTCACTCTGTCCAATGGATTTATGGATGCATCCAGTTGAAGTAACCCAATTTTTAGGCCTGTACATTGATGTAGAACCCTCCAACTAGATTATTGTATAGTTTTATCTGTTACAACAACAACCCATGTACTGTCACAATATTTTTGGTCATTATGCCGTGACATATGCATTAACATAAGCGAAATTGTGACGAAAAATTTTTAGTGGTTAAAAATTTTTATAAATGCATTTTATTATTTTTTAATATCTTCAATAAACGTTTATTAACATATTATGTTATTATAAATTCTATTTATAACACCGTGCAACAGTCATTTTCACACATTAAAAAATCTATGTGTACAAGTATTAACCCTATGCACTCAGTTTTTCATAATCAGCTCAGGATTAAAAAAGAAATGGAAGCTTAAAGAAAATTTGTTTCCAAAAAGTAGTTATTTCGAAAATTAAAGCATTTTTGAATTTTTTGTCTAAGTGGGTCAAATAAATAATATAGATATATTATAAATCCTTTAAACTTTGTCCTTTTATAAGGACATAATAGCCGATTATAAAAATCGGAGTATGCAGAATTGCTATAAATGGACTCTAGTTTCACATGCAAATCAACTTTTCTATGTGAAACTTTTTTTCAAAATTGTTACAGGGAATGGTCAATTAGACAGATTTTATTTTGAGGTAAACCAGAGGACTAGGATTACTCATTCTAAGAGGGAAGTTTTGTCAACAATTGCGAAACTATTTGATCCCGTGGTTG